TGAGAGACAACTAGGGGTATTTTTCCCTGCAAGCAGTCAACTGTGATTGATGACTCTATTAGAGTGACAGCTATGACTCCATGTTTTCTGTATGGCCCTCAAAACCATCCAAAGAGCAATGACTTAAGAAGGTTTTTTAGATCTCAATTCCTCTGATCAACAGTCAGTATACCCTCTTTGTTCAGCTGCTTGTTATATAGGTCAGAAAAGGCTTGTTTCATGACTTCTCCAGCTTACAAACCTCTGCCTTGACCTGCATTTCTAGAAGAAAGCTAATAAAAGATTAATCTTGTAAAAGAAATTATCTGTATTCTAACTGCATATACTCATACCTAACACAGGGACACAGCTGTAGCTCTGACCAACATGCCTCCTCCATTATGCCCAGTTGTCTCATTCATCCTCTACAGACTTGTTTCAAGCATTTACATAAAACACCAACACACCACAAGGAACTTCCCTATCATTTTTAAGCTAAGTACATCAAGTATTAACAGTTGTTTTACCCCCAATACTTACCAATGACAAGTTGCACAGGTGGCATCAGGTCCAGCTTATGTTGTCTATTTTGTTAACCAAATTATTTGGAATTCCCCCAATTCCTTGTTTCCGTGGATGCTGTCTAGCTCTTATTTCACTTTGTTCCCCACAGTTCTACTCCTTTACGTCCCCACTATATCTTCTCTTCATTTCACATTTCTCCACATCATCACATCATCATTAAGCACCTTTTTCATTTGTCCCAACCTGTTTCTGCCTTCTCACATTCTTCAGATCCATCCTCACTTCAGGTCTCTCTTCTCCACAAGCAAGGTCACTATTGTGTTTCCAAGTAACAGCAATTTATTTGTGGGCTCAATCCTGTATTTTGTAATATTACACACTAAGCTCTGAGGAGATGGAGGAACAACAGATACTTTGTATGTTTGCTCTGCAAATATATATATATTTATATCCATACACACTGTGGTATGAAATCCTGGAACACTTGACAGCATACTTAGCACGAAGTCTGCTGTTTCAGCCTACAGTTATCCCCCAAACTAGGGATTTAAGCTTACAACCTTTTTTGCTACTCATTCTTGCAGAAACCTTTGGATCCCATTGTTAAGCCCCAGACCCTCTGTATCAGTGCATTCCTCAAATAAACAAACATAAGAAAAATAAACACCAGGGTGTCATCACTTCCTAAACCGACAAATACAATTCAAACTTTGCCCAACATCAGAGTCATGTACCCTCAATACAAAGAAGTCGATCAAAACTAGAAGAAACAGGGTGCTGCACATCAGTCAGAAGACAGGCTGCGACTGTAGTGAGGATATTATTCATATTTAATTCAGGAAGACCTTTGCTTTTCTCAAACCTATCAAAACCAGTTTATATTGTCAAAGAATCTATACCTAGCACATGCCAAACTATAACACATCCCACATACAACTCATTTACTATGTCTACCTCGTAACAGCTCCAGGTCGTTAGCTTTCTGCACAGAGCCCAGCTCCCTCTCCATCACCACCTTCTCTGTAACGACTGGTTACTATTCCTGTTGTCAGCAAGTTTGTTTTCTTAAAGGTAATGAAGTACTCCCACTGGCTACACAGGCACTGATAACTCAGAAGAGAAGTTGGAAGTATGAATCCAATCACCACTCCAAAATACTTACACCTTAATCATCTTTGGTAAGTCTCACAGGAGCTTTGTTCTGTCCCTCCTTACTATTCACTGTAAAGCGAACACTTAATGAAGTACTTCCCTAACACCTGATACAAGCTACTATTAAGAGAGCAGTCTGTTCTACAGAGTTGGAGGAAATGGCTTTTATTGGTGGTACTGATCAGAAGGCATTTACCTTCATTTCCACAAACCAGTCAGGAATCTGCACACTGAATATACTCTTTTAGCAAAGGATGGATTTGCAGGTTTAGCCTCTTGATCAGATCTACTTTCCCGTTTAGAAAAGATCAAATACAGTGTCCAAGTTGTTCTGCTAATACTACTTTCCTGAGAAATTCTTAATTTCTCCAAGTTGAAGCATCTTCTCACACCCCACTCCAAAATCCTCAAGAAGCTGACACACAACTTTGACAACAGATTATACTTCTTACCAGCTGGCAGTAAGGCAAGCAGGGCATTCAGAGAAACAGTGGATTTTCATGAGGTTTTATGGCCAGAATGACATTTCCACTCCAGGCAAACTCCTCTTTTCTATCTTTCCACTTGTGTTACTCCATAAACCTTGGCTACCAGGTCAGATCTGCATACTTGGAACAGACCACTCAGCTGCAGGCCGAAATTCTATGTTTGCTCCCCTCTACCCTCAGTTCTTCCCAAGCATCATTAACTTTAGGCTTTTATGCAGTATATAAAAAACACAGAGAACCAAAGCACTACATATTCAAGTTCTTTCCTCCAGGAAGAACTAATGATTCTCCAGTAATGATGAACAAGCCCACCTAGTACAACCTTAGGCTTTCACAGCCCTGTGAGAAGATTGCCTGGAGACTCAGCATCCCTGTGTGATGAAGAAATTCCTAGTTCACCTCACTGGAAAAAGACAAAAGGTTGAGAAATTTTCCAACAGGAAAACCTAGAACTCAAGAATTCTTGCAACTTTGGTCTGCTCTTAACATTTCTTTCACAAGCAGTAAAGGTTGTTACACAAAGTCTCTGTTTTCCAAAAAACTATGGATATTTATTGAACAGTTAGGAGATCACTGGAAGTTTTCATAATTAAAAACAACAAAATGTGTTTTTATAAAGGTTGCCTGCAGGACTGAACTAATGTGGCCATAGCAGATAAAACAGTTTCACTAACATTATAAAAAAAGTAATGACAGATTAAGACATGCTACAAATATCTCTAAGTTAAAAACAGCATCAGTACGAAGACTGTTCTTCTCACTTCTATTGTTTTAGTTTAGTCTTGTTAGAAGCAGGTGGGCACCTCTTGTAGAGAAGTAGTATCTCCAGAAGTCAAAGCAGACCTCTAAGTAGACCTGAAACAAATAAACTGTATTTCAGCAGGTGATATTTAGAGTAATAGTAAGTAGTAAGACATTCAACATTATATAAAAGTAGACTTGCATAGAAAGACTGCTTTCACTTTTATCAAGATACTACAGATAGTAATTTACTGATCAAAAAGCTGTTCTTGACAAGTTTTCTTCATATAATGTGGTATCATTTTAATGCATTTAAGAATGCATTCTGCAGAACTGCTGATTCAAATTAATAAGCAAAAAGATCACTCTGAAATAACTAAGTAACTTATGTTTAGAACCAGAGATGTAACATTAATAAGGTACCGTAACATTAAAATCTACACATCATTCTTAGTGCCCCAAGGTCGGCGCAAGCAACTTGTACATGTCAGAAAAGCATATAAACCTTGTTAATGTTTTCAGAAATTCATTTAAAGATAGAAACAGGTCCAAAAAGATGCCTGTCTAAATGCATTGCAATTACGTTACAATTATTTTCCAAATACACAGATATGCTCTGTCTTTTCTCAGCTCATTACTGACCCAAACAATTTGCCCTTCTGGGATCAATTGTTTGCTAATAAATAATTGCTTACAGTCCCAAAATGATATTAAGGAGTATTCTTATTAGTTTTCCTTCTACAGCCTAATAAGATTCAAAACTAGCTGATTCCCAAGAGTCTAACCTTAACCTTGCTGTATTTAACAGCCCAGGAAATGATGAACCATCTGCTGCAGAAAATAATGGAGGGCCAAGAGGAAATATTGTTTAATTGTAGATTAACCTCCTCCTTCATTCTGCCCATCTCCACAGGGCAGAATGAAGCATCTACAGAATTAGCAACCATAACTAGCAATGAACAAAAATAACTGAAAGCAGCTCTCACTACTACAAGCAGCAGTGAGTATTCTTTTACCACCTTTTTTAAACCCTCCTAAATGTAATAAGTGCAATCTGATTTTAAAAATAAAAGTGAATTACCAGCTTTGGATTATTTTTTATTACTTGTGGAAGACCCAGGAATAAATCCTGAATTAATTCTGGTTTATTTTTCCACCAGTATCAAGATCAGTGTAAAACAAACATCTCCTAAGTGAGAAACAGTGGATTTATTCTTCTGCAATTTCCACCTCACATCTCCACAGTCATAAAATGGCTGCTCCGAAGCTACATACTTTAAGGGAGGAAGGCAAGGCCTTGAGGTTTTAAACTCAAGAACTTTTATCATATGCCTATTTGTGTAGCCATTTAGATACTAAATAATGGAGAGAACCAGATAAAGTGTAAGACGGTTTGAGTAGTAGCAATTAAAAGAAAAAGCAGTGACAAACCACACTGAATTTGAAAATAAAACCTGCTCCTGTGCTAGCATAATTAAGAGTAGTGCAATTCTGCACCGTCAGGGCAATTTTTCCATGTAACATTCATGCCAAAGCAAGCTCTACAGAAATCTTTTACCCCCATCAATCACTTTGCCCCATTTTGACAGCAACAATGATAGAAAAGTGTGTTATCAGAGGGTTACAGCAAACTCCATTAAAAGGGAACTGAAAAAGCTTCTCCTTGATTTTACACAGCCTTTCTAGAACAATATCTAGATTCACTTCTAACTGTGAGAGCTAGGTGCATGCTCGGAGCGTAAAGATCCCATTAATTCTAAGTTTTAAATCTCCAAACAGTGTGACATTTACTCAAATAAATTATTCTTGAATTCTTCCCTTAATTCTTGCAGCAATGAGCTAGCAGTAACTCCACAGCTTCATATAATAGCACCTATTCAAAAAGGATAAGAGTTTGACATTCTTCTCCTGCTAAACAACTAGGCACAATTTTATCCATCAGCCGTCTATCAACCTACGGATATTGAAAGCTTGGGCGAACAAGATAAAATCAAAACTAACCCTACTGTCAAGCTGCACTATCTCCTGGCATCAATAATGCTATTCATGAATTTAGGAAAATTAATAAATCTTGGGATGAATGCTCAGAAAGTCTCAAATACAGGTGAAGCATACTCACTTTGGTTTTGTTTCTGCATCTGTCACTTGGCGAATATAGATACCATCTTCAGGATGTTCAATGTCATCCATTTCATACATATATGAAGAAGCTATTGCAAGGGTAGTTCCATCATTGCTGAAGGCAAGCGATGCGATGCTTGTGGGATACCGATGGAACTGACACAGACGCTTTTTATTAAAGGGATCCCAAATATTTACAAATCCATCGGAGCCTCCTGAAATTTAAGTTTTTAAGAACGGTTAATTAGAGCTGGGAAAATGGCAACACTGAAAAGACACAGCAAAAATAAAAGATGGGAAAGAAAACTACCTGAATTACTTTGTCAGTAAAAACACAGGGTTATACAGAGTTGCATAATTCAGCAAAGAGCACAAGTATTTCTCAAAATCTCTGCTAAAGCCATTGACTCTCAAAGCATCAAATCTTTTTAAAACCCGGCTCACTGCCAGAAACGCAATTTAAATGCTTAGAAAGGAATGACATAGGGAATCCTGGAATGGTTTGAGTTGGAAGGGACCTTAAAGCTCATCCAGTTTCAACCCCTGCCATGGGTAGGGACACCTTCCACTAGAGCAGCTTGCTCCAAGCCCTGTCCAGCCTGGCCTTGAACACTGACTGCCAGGGATACGGCAGCCACAGCTTCTCTGGGCACCCTGTACCAGCGCCTCAGCACCCTCACAGGGAAGATCTCATCTGAGTCTTCCCTCTGTCAGTTATATGAAGTAAAGGCTAATCTATTTAAATCAAAACTAAAGGAACTGATACACGTTACAAAACACTGATTATCTACTTTACCTGTAGCAAATGTGTTGTGGACATTATGGAAAGAAATTGCATTAACTGGATAAATCTGCTCAATGTTGTTTTCCTTCAAACGGTGACATTTGAACGCATATTTCTTCTTCTGAATTTCTGGACTTGGATCCAAGTATTCCACAGCAACACGACCTTCAATAGAACTTAAAACATAACCCTAAAACCAAATTGGATACGCACATGTTAGTAGTTTACAACTGGAAAAGAAATTGCAATCCAATTTATCTTATATCCTTTACATTCAATAGATGAAACAAAAAGCCTTAGATTGTGTAGGGATAGAAACTGTTACCACAAATCAATGGCATCAGCACCATAGTTTTAAGCTGACAGCAAGACCTTTTAATTACCCTTCAGGTCCAAACACAAAGTTGATTTGAGGGGACGAAAATGTTAAAGAGTTAACAACCCTTTGTATTTGCCCACCTATTCCCCAAGGCCTCAATATCTGAAATATGAGAGATCCTCATGGGACTGTTTCAGAATTATATTACATTCAAATTAGTTCAGAGCTTTATACTAGCAACTAAACACTCAAGTTGAAATAGTATTTTCAGTGAAACTTGATTATAAGTGGTGTTCACTTATCCAGTTCATTACAGTCCTGACTTAAGAGCAACCTGAGATGCTTTTATTATAACTTCTGAGTTAAGCCCATAATAGATCTTTTCAGAAATAGGATTGTAATGATATCTAGCTATAGCAAGGTTCTTTAAAATCCATAATACCATACAATCTGGACGATCAGCTTGTTTCATTATAACTAGAGCTGAAAAGGGACAAAGCATTCATGCCAGTTCAGGAACAAGTAACTAAGTCTCACAATTCCTGTACTATCACTATGTACACAGGAAAATTCCCTTTCCAAATTAGTTTGCCAGAAAAAGCTAATCTTCCTTCACTTCAGAAATACCACTGATACACTGTGTTAACCTACACAGTACGATCACCTCAACTGTACAACTCCCCCTAGGTAATGTATCCCAGGTTTGTGAGTGCATGACAGACTCGGAGGTAAAGGAAAAAGACATAAAAGACATTCATATAATCTGAACCCTGCTCCTGCCTACTGAAGAACCTGGGGCTACAACACATAAAGGCTGCTGAGCAAACTCCAATTCTGTTTTCCTCTCTGCTACTGCAACTTTGTGGAGGTTTTGGGGTTTTTTTAACTGCATGTTGGCATTGTGATGCATGAAGTTATTCTTAAAAAGGAGACAAAACTGAGGGGAAAAAAAAACCAAAACCTAATATACTGGTAAGTCAGTGACAAACACTCCTGAACTGCACTATTACAAAGAGTCAACTTCGAAGCCTCAACACCGTTTATTTTCCCCTCCTACAAAACTTCTGAAGACCAGAATTTGTTTCAAAAGAAAGATGGACAAAAGTTGACAGACAAACCACTATTTCTACTAAAGAATATTCAGAAGTGTGATTACTGCCATGCTCCCCATACCTGCTTATTAGGAAACGCTCTGATACAGCGGGTCTGGTATTTCAGACTTGATTCTCTTCGCTGCTGAACATAACCCATGTTCCTCAAATCCCACACCAGCACTCTCCGACCTGCAGTGCCCACGATTAGCCTATCTCCAGACACAGAAAGCGTGTAGACCTTTAAAAAACAAAACATTTAACATTAGGCCTGAACATCCATTGTTCTTCCAACAATATAAAATGGCAGCAATATGGAATAACAAAACATCTACACAATGAAGTCAATAGCTATAGAATTCCTTTTAGCTTTAATTTATAACCCAGTTTTGGGATAAACAATCATAGTGTGCAGCTGGTTAGTGAGAAGACATTGATGTAGCATTTCAACAGCTCACTCTTAATTCTGGACCCTAGCACATAACTGAGACATCAAGCCCAGTGCAGCCCCGATAACAATATATATAATGATTATATATATAGCAATAATAATATGTATATGCAGTTGTGTAATTCTAAAATCCAAGCACATTTGTTCAGTTACCAGTCCCCAGATCTCAGCAATGTCTAAATTATCTTCACATATTGTTTCCCTTCTGCTGGTATTACCCATGATCTAAATGCTACATGTGCACAGAAGTATTTGTTAAATTCAAAAGGGACATCAGTAGCATTCAAGTTTTCCTCCAAAATTATTTCAATTGTTAAATGTATTGGATATTTCAAGGCAAGAGGAAAACAGAAGAAATAAGAGGGAAATGCATGGATATTGCAATTCATTTTTGCTTGGTATGCTCGTTTTGTATTCCCTGCTATCAGTGCATGATCCTGAAGTTTTCCTACAATACCACATCACACATTTTCTTCTCCGAATTATGTGGTTTTCCTTTTTAAAGAAAATACTTCAAGTTGAACTCTATGTTAATAAAGGGAAATAAACTGCCAAAAAAGCATTAAAAAAAAACAACTCTCAGTGCTTTGTATACTTTGACAAAAGTGAACCTGAAAGCAGCAATATGCTTTGCATCATTAAAAGAGACCACAACTCAGAATTTCAACTCCACTCCAAAAACTGGCTCAGAGGTTCTAACTTTCATGTGTCAAATTTCTCATTAAAATATTCAGCATATAAATTGTTCTGTTTCCAAATATTACTGGGGAGCTGTTAATCTGGAAACACATTAAAAAAAGGAAAAGGAAAAAAAAGGTTCAGTCAAAACCTCCGTGCTATCAAATTAATTACAAATTGATGATACACAAGACAGAATCCAGCTGCCTATTGCTGGAGAACTGCTAACAAGAGCAAACTGCAAGAATGAGCTTTGAAAAAGTGAGCTAATGCAGCTCAGTACATAGGAAACAAATCCTGGATATACCTCAGAATCAAAAGTGTAAGAGATCTGGTATCCTGCCAAGAGGATTCAATTTACTTTTGGCATTTGCTCGTACAATTTCACTCAAGCACCTGGTTTCACTTTCTGGTTCTCTGACAAAGCCTGGTAAAGCTGTTTGGTTCAGGCAAGTCTGCACTGAAATATTAGATCAAACAACTTTTCACTTGCTATAAACATTTCTGGAGAGATTATTTTTAAGAAGTTAATTTCTAATAAAATCTAAGCATACGGGTGTCTTTGTGTGTGGGTATATGTACGTATAGAGACAGAAAAAGCTTTCCTTTACCAATTAGCACTCACTCAGCATGCATTCTCACTCTAAAATGTGATTACTGAACTTCCACCTTCAGATTGAGGTCTTCAGATGGGAAATGTCTTAAATGTTCACATAAGAGTTAACTAAAATTTCTCATGATGCCAGTTGCCATGAAAAGGGCAAGAAAACTTTGATCCAACAGTAGTTACACACTAACAAAACAGTTTTTCAAGTCTCCCCTATTACTGATACAATTATTAATAGTTTGTGATCAATTTTTACACGTTTGCATACATGTATAGCAATAAAGGCATAAGGAACATTAAATATCTTAAGTCTTCTTTACAAACTGATGTCACACCTGTACAGTAAGTATTCTTTTTCCACACACACAAGCATAAATCACATGAAACCATTGTCATGCAGCTGGGTAGGTGTACACATTCATCAAAAGCAGTATTAAAACAATGACATAATGAACCTGGCTGAACCAATAAGCAGCTTGATTCACTGGGGCTGTCCATTATATGATATTCTGTCAGCAATTTATCACAGTTCTTTACATGCTACATCCACCTATAAATCAAAACCTAGAAATAATGCAATTACTTTCTTCTGAACAAAGGTCTTGCCAGAAGTAGATTCAGCTATGCTGTAACAAAAGTAAGAGCTATTTAGATGCAATAGGCAACGTAATGATGGCTCGTAATTATGACTTGACAGTATGATGTAACAGGGCAAAATGAGATTTATAAAAGGTATAGGCACAAAATCCTGCGTAATATCATCCAGCAGCCCAGCCTGTGTTTAGGAGCCTACGAAAAGAACAGAAATTACTGTTCTGTAATTCTTCCAGTGACACCAACGTAAGCAGCATAAAGATTAACACACCATATAACCATCAGAAATAGCTTAAGACATCACATTTTCCCTTTTTTCTTTTGATCTCCCATTAGCACAGAGGATTTAAGTATTAGGAAGACGCCTGAATTTACAGACACTAGTACAATGACAGGTAAATTACAATAAAAGCAATTCTGTTCAGTCTTTTAATACAAGTGAAAAAAAACACCACCCAAAATATTATTTCAGGCAACATAAAAAGCCTCCTACTGTATCTCTACACACATGTCAAAGCAATCAGACCTTGTAACTGCCAGGATCTGCTATATCAAAGTCTCAACATTTAAGGAAATCAATGATGCATATTACAATTAAGACAAATGTTAACATCAATGTCACATGCTGGTTTTGTTCAGTTTTCCTTCCTCTAGTTTGTTTTAAATCATAAGCATTTGGTCTACCACAAGCACTAAGAATTAAGCTACACTCTCCTATTGATGAAAGCGCAAAGCCTCAACCTAAAAAAAAAAAAAAAAAAAAAAAAAAAAAAAAATCAAAATATGTTCTGAATATCAGTATTTTAAAAGGCAACGTTTTCACAGCTTAAAAAGCATTAAACCTATCTTTCAAATTCAATTCAGTTTATGACAGTGCCCAGTATGGTGACGTTGAATCAGGCACTGGATGTATTATTTAATACAGTATCCAGTACATACCTTTTCCGGTTGCGAGAAGGTTCCTGCGTTACAAGGAGTTCTGGGATCCCACAGTTTAACTGTTTGATCCCAGCTTCCAGTCACCATGACATTCACTTCTGGGCAATACTCAACACACCTGATAGGAGCATCATGGGCACCAACAAGGTTTTCTGTAAGAAAACACAATATATTTTAACTTTACTGGCTTACAAACAGTAAGAATGCGTTGAATAAAGAATAAGAAGGATGCACTACTGCAGTATGAATGAACTATTTTCTGACATTCCCATGGGTGTATTTATATGCCAGGAGCCCTTTAAGGATAATTCAGTCTTTGGAAACATAACTTCTGCAAAGATCAGGATTATTAAATTGGAACTGGTCTTCTGAGATTATGAGAGAAAGCTAAGAATTTTAGGCAGCCACAGAGAGATCTTCAGAGGTATAAAGAAGCGCTCAGTATCAAATGGCATCACCACCTTTAACACAGAAAGCAACCTGAGCCTGTATGTATGAACATTATGACAAAAGAAAGGAATCAATATTACATATTAATATTAACACAAACACTTCCACAAAGTCATCTACAGCAGAATTCATTTGACCTTTTCATAACATCACTGTGTGTACAACCTTGTTGAGCCATGGCTATTGGCTGGTTCTAGTGATCACTTCTGTCTCAGGCTGAGATTCACTTTTCTCTTTTAACACACATACAAACACACAAAATAAACCAGCTCCATATTTTGCACCAATGAGGCATTGGTGCTGTTGCTTTTGAGCAAGATATAGTGTAAGGCCATGATGTCTGACAAAGCAAAAGCTTTATGTACATTCTGCCATACATATGAAAGATCATTCTTAAATACATCTAAACCACAAACCTTTGAAAAATAACATGCTCAGTTGTACTTCAGCTTAGCTAATTCCCACTAATTGAGACACAGTAACCTAAGGCAGAGCAGGACGATCATCAGAAATTCAACTCAAGGCATCCTACAACAGACATCTACCAAACTTCCAGGCAAACTGCCAAATGCTTCCATGCTTTTAGGAGGTTCTTATTAGGGTCACCAGTTATTCTGCTAGATAAAGACACATGCGAGGTGAAACTCAGTCAGCATGAGGAGTACACAGCTATTTCCTTCCCTTCCATTTTCACCTTCAAATAAGTAAATAAATACACGTGTAAAATACATCAATGAATGTCCATCATGGTGAAAGTTTAAACTCTCAGTTTGGCAGCAACATATTCACGCCTTTTGTTAAATGTGTTATAGAAGAGCCTTCAGGTACACTGAAGTTCTGTATCTCAGCAATCTGAAAGGGCTGCACAGCAAAGGGGACTGCTGAGCACTGACACCTTAAATCCAGATTTAAGCATCTAGTACTTAAATATCCCTCATCTAAAAAAGTGGAAACATATTCTGTTAAGTAAATAAATATGAAGCTTAGGCCAGTTGTTGAGACCACTGAGAGAACTCAAATCTGCTTACCTTGGTCCGTGTTTAAATCATGCATCTTCAGTTGCTGATCTAATCCTCCACTCCAGGCATGGGTAGGATCCTATAAAGCAAAAAAGAGCTCACCTTCTGACATGCATTAAGTTTTCCTGGCTGTAATACATTTAATCTTCCAGGCTCACAACAAAAGACTTGCTTTCAGGAGTTTGGGGAAGATGGGAATTCAGACACAAGGTTAAGATCTGGCCCAGATCTAAACAGGCAGGATACAGAAGCTTTGCAAAATGTTTAAGTAAAGCACTTTGAGCTATATTTTTATTATTTAAAACTAAAAGGCAGTTAAAGGCTACACCAAATTATTTCCACTGTTGTAAAAGCAAAGCACATAGTACTTCTCTTTAAACAACTGCCAGCCTAAACCAGTTCCATCTGACTGAAGCATAATCCTCCTAAAACTAATCTAGAAGCCAGATACCATGGCATATCAATCCACAGCACGACACTATGTGACAAAATGTTCAGTGAAAAAAGGACAAAACTGGGACATTTAAATTGATCCTTAAAACATGCAGTAACACAGCAAGTTACTACAGGACATGTCAGAATAAAATGAAAAAAAAAAAAAAGCTAGTTGAAACCTTCCAGTACACATGTGACACCAAAAAGGCAAAACAAAAAGTGGCACTAATAAACTTGAAGCATATTTCAAATCCAGTGCATTAAAAACGCAGCAATCGGGTATCTGGTATTTGGGAACATGATGCCATGCTCCCAAACAACCAGTATGAGAAGGTGAAAGAGAAGACTAATGGGCTATGGGCACTTATTGGGAATAATGATTTCCAGCTATACACCACCAGTATGACTCTTCGTAAGAAGCATGCACACAATTCACCAGAGCACTGCAGAAACAGCACAAAGCAGCTCAAAATACTTTTGCCTACCACTTCTACCAGGAGTAAATTACTTGTGTGCCTGCACCCTTCGCAGGGAATATCTGTATTTAGGACTAGAACAACATTCATTAAAAGAAGAATAATGGGCAGAAGGTTTTTTTTAAATAAAGAAACAAAACTAGATTTTAGGTGGTATTTCACTATCCCTTTAATTTCAGGCACTGACAATTTCTCAAGTACCTTGGCCACTATAGGTCCATAAAATAATAGTAAATAAAAATCCACTTCCCACACTTACATAAAAAGCACAGTCCAGGACAGCTCCTGTATGCTGATATTTGAGTCTCATGGTGTTGGCAGGAACATCATAGAGCCGGACAGTTGTGTCCCAGGATGAAACAAGCAGAAACTGTGATGTGTTTGGACTAAACTTCACTGATGAAATACCATCATCTGGAGTTTGATTTAGTTTGAACTCGTTTGATCCTGTCATCTGAAGACAATAATGAACAAATACAGTTTTAGTAATAACAAGAACATAACCTAGCAAGTTAGCTTCCTAACTGAGCCATCTTAGAGAGAACTTAGAGCTGAAAAGTTTACCAGCTTTTACACAGAAAAGTTCACAATACCCAGAATTCTGACACACTCTAAAATTCAAGATGCTCATCCCTGTCCAAAACCTCAATAAATTCCTCCTCGCACACTTTTCAAATTTAAATATCAACTATAACGTGGAACAATAATACACTTTTTGTACTGTTATCTCTAAGCTTATATATTTTTACTTACAAATGTATTTTTCCCCACTCTGTGTGTGGCTGTATTTTTATAAGTAAATATCAGTTACTGTAAGTATCAAGAAGTTAACAAAAAAAAAAACAAGAACAACAAAAACAAAAACAAACCAAAACCCACACATGCAGGTAAAAAGGAATGAATCCAATCTGAAAACAAAAAAAAGAAGTCAATTTGTTCCTGATCTGTTATAACCATCGGACTCGCAAAAAAATGGAACTGGATCATCTTTTAATAGGTCTGGGCTTACTGCAATTTCCCTATCCTTTGGCTTCCATAAGTGTTGTAAAATATTTCCAATGAAACAGCTTTAAGACTTTTTTTTTTCCTCTAAAAAAAAAGGAGGTCAGATAAGAAAGGAACAGTTGAATGCCAGCTCAATGATTGTACGACTCACTTCAGAGGACTGCTTAACTTCTGTATGTAAAAATTCAAAAGAAAGCAGAGGCTAAAACCAGCAAATTTCAGTTGGGAAAGCAGTGCAAACCTTACAGACCCTCTGAAAGAAGGAGCTGTACATGACATATACAGCGCCAAAAGCACCAGAACTTTTTAAGGCTTCAGAAAGTCTTAAAAGCACATTTCCTTTTAGCTAAAACAAAAAGAGAAGTAAATTGGCTCAGATTTTCGGTAACACTGTCACTCCTGAATCTGTACATGTAACTGCAGAGGCAAGATTAGATCTCTGAGAATAAGTCAAGAGGGAAAGAACAGATGAACTAGGAGAAAGCTCAAGCTGAGTGCAGTTTTTCTAATTCAGCACTTGTCAGTAACTAAGCAATCAAGTTGTATAATAATGTGAGCACTACACATTCTTACACCTGAGAAAATCCTGAAGTGGGAACTTTAGGACATGTTTTCTTAGATATCCTTCAGAGAAACAAAACCACTATGTAAACACAAAGTTTTTTTCTATATTTAAATATGAACTCTTAAGACTAGGAAATAAAATCATCTTTCTTAACCCCTTTTCAGCTCTGTTTTGGGATACCTGGGCAAAAAACAGGCTTGAGAATTTGCCACGCATTTCTATATGAATACTACAGAGAATTCAGCTGCACCTTCATCAACAGTGAAGTGTACCACAGTGAGTGTTTCATAGGGATGTACAACACCACAACCTCCAAAGGAATTCAGAACAACTACAAGGCATGCTAACTGCCTTGTCTCCTTGTGGCAGAAAGCTAAAATGACAAAGAGGAGTACAACAGCAAAAAAACACCTTAAAAGCAATCAACAAACAGCACTCCAGGAGGTAAAGTTACTTATGTCAGAAACCTGGAAGAGCCTCCCAAAGGTAATTTTAATACAGGAAAAAAAAGAATACAAATATCAGGATGTAAGCGCATCCTACCTTTTACATGTGTTACCAACAAAAGAGAGAAAATATTAAACAACGAAGTCTGCACAGTTCCACAAATGCAACCGCCTCACAGTCAGGACTGCTGAACATTAACTGCTCAGGCCCACCTCAAACAACAAAGTCCTGTTAAAATGTTCAACCACCACAAGAGATAACTCATTTAAAAAACACATTACAAGGAAGAAACTGCTAAAACTGTGATGCTGACTTAACTACGTGATGCACTTTTACAATTCCATCATAGAATCACAAAATGGTTTGGGTTGGAAAGGACCTTAAGATCATCCAGTTCAAGCCCCCTGCCATGGGCAGGGACACCTCACAGTAAACCCTGTCACCCAAGGCTCTGTTCAACCTGGCCTTGAACACTGACAGGGATGGAGCATTCACAACTTCTTTGGGCAACCCATTCCAGTGCCTCACCACCTCACAGTAAAGAACTTCTTTGTTTCTAACCTGAACCCATTACCCCTTGTCCTATCACTACAGTCATTCCCAAAAGCTCACTTTTTACCAACACAGATGAAATCGGTGCTGTTATAGCTCTTCAACATAGACCCAGCCTCCCCACAGTCAGCTAAGCGGTGAGCCTCTCGAACAAAGCAGGCCGCCCTGCTGAAAGCCTCAGGGCGAGCAGCCTGTACTCTGACGAAGAAGAAACCACTAAAAGTACCGTCTTCATCCTGCAAGGGGTTCCTCTCGCCGCTCCACGCACCGTCAAGGAAAACCTCTCTCACTGCAGCCGCCGCGGACCCAGGAAGCACGGAGGAGTCAGAAACACAGCGGCTCTCGCACTCCGGTCCCGGAGAACCACGCCAGGATGCGGGAGATGCTACGGCGGGAGGGAAGAGAGTCAGAGGAGAGCCCAAGAACCGAGGGAGGGCCGAGGACAGCCGCGGGAAGGCCGCGGCACCCGGGGCTGCTGAGGGGAGGCAGCAGCCGTCCCTAGGCCGAGGAGCCCGCTCCGCCTATCCCCGAACGGAAGTCTCCGCACCCCGCCCGCCGCGGTCAGAGGCTGAGGGTCCGGGTCCCGGTCCCGGTCCCGGTCCCGGTGGGGAGCGCGGCCTCACCTCAGCGTTCCGCCCGGGCCGCGCGCCTCCGGCCTACCCACCAACCGCCGCCGCTGAGCGGAGCGACAGCACGGGAACCGACGCTCACTCCCCGGGTCTGCGTTACTGCGGCTGACCTCACCCCGTCCTGACCGGGCCGGGTGAAACACCGGCTGGGAGGAGCCGGGGAAGCCTCCTCCTTCCCGCGCACTGATTTATCCCTTCGGATCTGTTATTTCTCCTGTTTTTCCCATTGCCCCTCGAGGCACCCCCTTTGCTGCTGTTAGAAACATCCCCACGTTCGGTACCGGCAGCACCGCGGGGCCCGTGCCCGCGGTTTGGATCCCGCTTCTTGCGGGATTCACTTTTTATTCCACGAACGACGGACTCTGTCTCCGTGGGGATGCACCCGTGGGTGCCCCGGGGCGGGCGGGGAGCAGAGCCGGGAAGCACCGGGGTCAGTCACCGGGAGCTCCGAGCCCGCTGCTCCCACCGCTGCTTGTAGCCAAATACTCCTCAAAACTGCTAAAACCGGCTCCCGTTAACGAAACCGTTTGAGAAAGGCCCTGATCCTTCCAGTCAAGCACAGGACACTGAGCCCCACCAGCCCCGGGGTGGGTACGGACAGGCCCGCCTGGGATTCCCTGCAGGGAGCGGGATAACGAGCAGGTGGCAGGGAAAACCAACCAGACCATCGACATTACACGTCGGTTTCGCTCTCCTGCGCATCCCCTTCCAACCGTGCCCGGCCGGCTGCGGTGCTCCCCCGGGTCCCGGTGCTGCCCGGAGGGAGCGTGCGATCGCGCTGGCGAGTTTACAAACGAGGCTTAAAACGGTTTTATTTTTTTTTTCTTTTTTTTCTGTTTCTTTCTTTAAAAATATTTACAGATCTGAAATAACGCTTTTTTAATTAATTTTGTTCGGTTTCAAGTGGCAGGATCGCGGGAAGGGCACGGGGGTTCCCCCGGTCACCCGGGCTCTCCGTTTGCCCAGTCCCTCCCATTAGTTTCGTTCCTCTGTCCCCGCCGCGGAGGTAAACCGAGACCCCGCACGGAGCCTCTGCGGCGGCCCCGGTCCCGGTCCCGGTCTCGGCCCCAGTCCCGGCCCCGAAGGGGAGGCCGCGGAGAAGAGAGCACTGTGGGTCAGTAGTCGATCTTGTTGTAGAGGTTGTAGAGCGGTAAGGCCGAGAGGTTGCTGCCGGGGTAGTAAAGAGGCGCAGGGAAAGCGATGGACCGGGGCACCGGCACTCGGAGGAGGGAATTGTCCCTGAACACCAGCGGCATCCCCACCAGAGTCTGTGCCGAGGCATGGGCCATATTGGCCGCCTCCAGCTCGGCCGAAAGCTGCCGTTTCCACTTGTTCCTGCGGTTCTGGAACCAGGTCTTCACCTGGGTCTCGGTGAGCTGCAGGCTGGAGGCCAGGCAGGCCCGCTCCGAGCTGCTCAGGTAGCGCTTCATGTCGAAGGTGGACTCAAGCTGATAGACCTGGCTGCGACTGAACACCGTGCGCGTCTTCTTCTTGGCAGCCCCGGCCTGCCGGTCCCCGCCGTCGCGCTGCCGGTCCCCGCAGGAAGGTGAGGCGGGGCCCAGTGTCTTCTCCTTCTCCTCCTTACAGTCCTGCTGGGGGGGCGAGTGGAAGGGTCCCCGCTCCCCGCTGCCAGCCGCCGTTGCTCCGCTCCCTTTGGTGCTGCCTGCAACAGAGCGACAGCACGGAGGTCGCACCGGTACCGGCACCACCCCCGACGCCAGAGCCCCCCGTTCCAGCTGGGGGAAAGGCTGAGGTGAGCCCCTGGCCAGGCACCAGCCGCCTCCGTTACCGGGGGAAGCCACCACAGAGGCCGGAGGAAGCCATCCCCGTCCTTCCATCGAATGGATGGATGGACAGATGGACAGGTGGGTGTGCCCGCCTCGGTGAAGGCAGCCGAGGACCAGGCTGGAGGTGCTTTACAATCATAGAATCCCAGAATGGTTTGTGTTGGAAGGGACCTTAAAGCTCATCCAGCTCCAACCCCTGCCACCGGCAGGGACCCCTTCCACTAGAGCAGCTTGCTCCAAGCCCCTGTGTCCAACCTGGCCTTGAACACTGCCAGGGATGGGGCAGCCACAGCTTCTCTGGGCACCCTGTGTCAGCGCCTCAGCACCGGAACAGGTTGGTGATACCAACCTAACAAGGGCCGGCTGATTTTATTTCATAGCCTTGCATTTCACAGACCGCTTATTCAGAATTAACGCTAAAAATAAAGCCCAGCATCTTTCTTTCCGCTCTGAATAAGCAGAATCTAGGAAAACCGGCGTTATCCGTCCCTCCGCGCCCCTTC